ATTTAAAAAGGAAAAGATTTAAGTAAACAACAACTTTACAAAGTAAAAACAAAAATTTGGATCTAATATTTTTGGTGTAATTTATAGACCATTGTCAGGATTCTTTATTAATGGATTAATAAATCTAATTGACTGTTCTAACTAGAATACAAAATTTGAAATGCTCAAACAAATTTGCAGTAAGCAAATTTATATAGAATTAATAACATATTAAAGAATAATAATAAATACATATTAAGAAGATAAAATAAAAAATAAATAAAATAAGAATAAAAACAGCTAACTCACACACAACAGTAAAATAATTAATTCTCAAACACTATTTTATTGAGAAAATATTTATTAAACATTCACAAGTGTTTTTGATCTATTTTACAAATCATTTTCAGATGCATCATACAATTATCAATTGCTATATATAGAACATTTGTAATGGATGTCTTGAATTTTTACATTAGAACATATTTAAATACAAAAGTTGGAACAAAATATCATTTAAACTAGATAAACTCAAAAATAAATAAACTAACAAACATAATAAATAAGATCAAAACTTTTTAAATAATAAGTGAATAAATAATTGAATAAATTTAAAATAAAAATAAAAAATATAAACTAAAATTGCAAAGCCATATTCTTGATTGTAGGGGCATTATGAATTCCAGTCAACTTGAAAATATATTGCCATATCTTAATTTTTTTTTCTACAATTCATAATGCCCTTACAGTCAAGTGGTAGCTTTTCATTCTTAGTTTACATTTATATTTAAAATTTTTTAATTATTTATTCACTTGTTGTTTAAAAAGTTTTCAATCTTATTTATTTGTTATTTTATTTGTTTTTGAGTTTATCTAGTTTAAATGGTATTTTGTTTCAACTTTTGTATTTAAATAGATTCTAATGTAAAAATTTGAAACTTCCATTTACAAATGTTCTATGTATATTGGTTGATAATTGTATGATACCCCTGACAATTGTATGATGATTTAAATCAATTAGTAACTGAGGTAACTTATATAACATTACTTAAAAAAATCATGAAATGCAGCAAAGCTTTTATTTATTAATACTAACATTTTTGGCCATATTTTACTGATCTTCTGATGGAACACAATTTCAAATGTAAGTTAGGAATGAATACAGTTGTAATTCATATATTCTGGAGTTCAAACATTTCAAATGTACAGTACCTTTCCTGTGGCAATAAATATATGTGCATCCCATTTGTGTTTGTTATAAATGGTAATAAATGGTAAGACTGGACCTGTTTGAATTTGAAACAAAACTTGTTTAATAAATAAAATACTCTTCTTGAGCCATGGTTTATAAAAAAAAAAATTGGCTCAATCATTATAACAAGCTTTTCCATATATAACTGAAAGCATTGCTCCTCTGAAAAATCACAAACAATAAAATTATGTACACTCGGCATTTAGCAGATATTACTTGGCTGGACATGCAGATTTTTGCTGCATTGTATTATATATTGCTCAGTTTGCAATATGCAAACAAAGGGAACTCTAAAATCTTGTGTAGTCTCTGTGTTGTTCAAAATGCAAAAAAATGGCTTGATAGATGCTAGGACTGCAAGTATATTATAAGATCCTCCAGAAATGACAAAATGGAACAGCTATATAGCAGATTGCTCAGGAATTGTATTTAAATGAGTCTATTATCAGAACCTTGTTCAATCACTATGAAGAAACTGGTTCTATCATGCCTGTGTGCTGTAATGACAGATTGCCAATGACTACTATTAGGGAAGATCTGTTTTGTGTCAGTTCGTCATGAAATATCAACCTGGTACATTTGTGGAAGCTGCAGAACTGAGGTGTGAACAAATAGGCCAATATGTATCTTCACAAATTACTATCAACAGATTACATGAAATGGGTTACAGTTTGTACAAGAGTAAGTTCAATGAAAGAAGTGGTTTGCATGAGCTAGGAATCACCTGTCTTGGATGGAAGCTTAATGGTGGATGATTTGGTCTGATAAGTCCTTTTCAGTCCTATATGGAAATATTGTACATAAAGTCATCTGCCAGTCGAATGAAGGACTCACCGAAAACCATGTGAAGCAGGAAGTTAAGTATCTGAACACAGTTCAAGTATGGTGATGTTTTGGATATTCTGGCATGGGTGATTTGATTCTGTGAAGGGAATTCAATGTAATGCTATCAGAAAATTTTGCAACAGCATTTACTATCTTCCAAAGCTCAACTTCGTTCTTCCCACATCATCTCGCCAAGCCACATACTTTGTGCTCCACTAGTGCTTGGCTTTGCCAAAATTGACCCAAAGTCCTGGACTTGATTCCAAATTTGCCTGATTTGAACTCGATTGTGAACCTTTGGCATATTCTTAAGAAAGAGGCAAGAAAATGCAAGCCATGAACAAAAGGTTATCTGAAGAAAGTTCTGGAAGTGTGGATTATAAGACCAACACTCCATAAGATGGTTGCCATATCTATGTAAAAACCCAAAGACAACTTGAAATGAAATTGAAATGAATCTCAATAACTTATCAAGTCCGTAGTCTTATCAAAAAATTATTGGTTTTTTTTAGCTTTTCAAAATTCCTTGAAAGTCTTTATGTAGCTATAAACTTTGATTTAAAGGCTCAGACATTTCTATTAGCTGGCATCACAGTTTGCAGTTTCATGAAGGTTTATATTATCAGTTTCTATTGGGAAAAATACACAAGTACAAAAATAAAAGGTCAAAATAACAATACAAAAGAAAATGGAAGACTGAACACTTCAGCATGTTTGAAACTCTTTCTAATGAAAAATAATTTATTTCTGGATAGATGGCACAACACTGATGTGGAAATACAGAACACATAAATTTTAGCTTTTGCATTTATTATTCTCCATATTTGGGATGCAATAGCATGATTTCTTCCATTCTTCCTGTGTCTCATAGATTATGACTTTTGGAGAACATTTGTTAGATTAATGTAATCATTCATTTGTTTGTTTAATGTAGGTTAAATATTTGAACTTCTGTTTCTGGAAGGTTTCCAATTCCTGCAGGTTTTACTGAATTAGAAATAATTTTTTTTCCTTTACAAAAATCAAGAAAAAATTTATAAAATAACATATTTTTAATATAATCATAAACTGTAATAAAGCACAACTGTTGAGCCAAAATTAATATCATTAATATTTTATTGATAATATTTTTATAATATAAACTAAATAGTAATTTTCTTATATATTTGTTTTAGCTTTTTGAATTTTTTCAATAATTCTTCACATTAATGAGCAGTTTGAATTAAGTAATAATATTTGCTTTTCATTATTAATCTGTTTATTTTTATATTTTTTTGCATTTTCAATAAATTGTTTTTTGTGTTTCCATTTGTTGTTTTATCTATAATCATTAAAAGTTGTCAGGGTCCAACATTTTTTACTAAGGTGAAAAGAGTTTCACGATAAATATAAGATGGGAACTGCTGGATTATATGGTATGATATCTTTTAAATATTACTATTACTGATTCCAAAGGTATAACATAAAATTATAAAAATTTTTATTCTTTCTTTGATCAATATTTATGTTGTTGCATCATAGCATATAATCAATAATGTTCTTTTACATACATGTACAATTTCTATAGTTAATTCATTCAATTATATAATTTAAATTTAAATTTTTAATAGTAAAACAATTCTGTAATTAAGATAGTAAGAAGATTTTATATAGAAAAAGGCTGTCTGTACTTTAAAAATCATTGGCAGATGTGATTTATTGAAGCAGTTTATTATGGGCCTTAATTTTCAAGATTTTGTAGCAATGAATGAAGTGGCAGTTTATAGGAAAGTGATAAAATGAGTTGACTGTATAGACTAAGAAAAATATTACTATTCTAAAATTTTAGTAGATAAGTCATAAATTTTTTAAGCTATTTTATTAAAATTAAAATTATACTTAAATAATTCACATTTTCAATATTCAGTGATAAGTTTTATAAAATTAATAATATGTTTTTAATTACATTTATTTATTTTCCATATATAAATGACTTAGAAACAGCTTAAAGTTGCCAGGTCTGGTTTCTTGCATACACTTTGTTTTGTTGTTTATTTACTGTTTATTCTTTTAGTTTGCCTGTAAGTAGGTTTCTTTCTTTCTTTTTTATTTTTATGATGAAAATCATATTTTAAACATCTCAATAAATATAGTTTGAAAGTTAGTTGCAAACATAGTCATTACACAATGCTGTAACTATTTAAAACACAATGACAATTAACTTTCAGTCCTCAATATGACTATTAATATTACACCTTAAATTATATAAATACCTGGCTACCATAGTATGGTCTTATCACATTGAAACTAATATAGTTTAACAAATGTAAATAAGAAACAAATTTAAAAAACATGGAAGAATAACAATGAAATCTGATATAAATGTCAGATATTTTATCATATTTATTGGTTGCAGATTAAAAAAGACGATAGTACATATGGCAATTAATTTCCCAATTTGATCACCTTGGGCAGAATGAAAAAGCCCTTCTATTAACCAAAAATAGTTTTTTTTTTTAAGTGAAAATAGTTTTCTTGGTGCAAAAAGTTACTTTTAGTTAAAAACCTATTGTCAGTTTTAGCATTTCTATGTTTATGGATGTCTTTTATGCACTTATTATGCAATTACACATCACCCCAATGAATAGTTAAAAAAAGTTTTTCCTAAGCTAAGTCGTCATTATTTAATTACGCACAATTTTAGTGTAAAAATATATTTGCAGTTATGAATTTATAAATCTAATCTTTAATGAGATTAGATTTATAAATTACAGATTTATTAATGAGAAATTACAGTATGATTACAGATTTATTAATGAGAAATTAAGACCACTTAATTTTAGATATATAAGAGGACGAAAAAATTTTAAGATAAACTAAATATATAGTTCTCTTTTCAAATTTATTCTATAATTCAAGCAGATATTGTTTTCTTTACATAATAATTTAATTTTTTTGAATTTAGAGAGGAACTTTGCAAGATGAATTGATGATGAGAGCTAAAACAAATACTTACATGCCAGAAGAGCGAGTTTTAAAGCTATTTCGTCAAATGTGTGAAGGCATACAGGCTATACATTCTGCTAAACCATTTCCTTTAGCACATAGGTAAGTTCAATAGCTATTTCATTCATTAAATTTAATTAAATTATCTAGCATTTCATTAAAACTGTTTTACTAATAGTTTTTTTAAACCAGAGAACCATAGATAAGAAATTTAAAGAAAAACTTTTTATTTAAACTAAAAATTTTCAATAAATATTATGGTTTAAAAATTGTGTTCTACTTATAACAAATAATAATATTTTGAGATAAAATATTAAGTTTTTTCAGTTAGGGGCCATCTATAAATTACATAAGGGCGATTTCGGTCATTCTAGACCCCACCCACACTTGTGTAAGAAACTGTAATATTTTTTTTTGATTCCTCTCCCCTTCCCTATCTTACATAATATTTTGGCATGATTTTATAGAAAGATTTTAACCAAAAAAATTTTTTTTATGAAATCCTAAAAACCTTAGGTCCAAAATATATAGTTATTAATTAGTTAATTAATATGTACTATTATTTATAAAAGACTTTATGTGAACAAATTTAAAAATATAAAAATTTAATGAATTCGAGTGAACAATTTATTTTAAGAACTATTTTTTAATTATTAACAATCTTATTATTATTATTATCATTAATCAACGTCATAATATTTATTTTTATATTAATTTTAATTTTCACAAAATACGCAGAAAACTTTGCCAGATCGACTAGCTAGTGCACATGTAAACAGAAACATCATACAAAATAAAACAAGAGAATAGAGAGAAACCACATTCTGTTGTCATATTGATTACATCTTGGCTAAGGCCAAGAAAATAAACTACATGCTGCTAAAATGTGCTAGGTTTACTAAAGGGCTAAATAATAAAGCTTATAAAACTCTATATAATGGGGCAATACAACCATTGCTACTTTATGTGGCCTCTAGCTGTGGTCATGTAACTAGTAAAAATTCAATAGCAAATAAATTACTCTTTCTTCAAAGCCAGTTTGCCATCAGAATTTCAAAGTGCTGCAGAACTGTTTACTAATGCCTCTCTGATACTAGCAGAGTTTCTTCCTTTGCCAGTATGTATTGTAGAAAAGGTTCTAAACTACTACATTAGAACTACAGACGTCAAGGCTCAACAATGGTCTCTACTTCTATCTATGGCTGTTCATATGTTACCACATTGCAATTACCCTACTATCTCTGATCATCATCCTGCAAACAAGGTTATTTGATGTCATCTGCTTCTTCCATGCAGACATTAATATCTACACAGATGGGTCCAAAAGCTCCCTTCTTGTCGGCTCAAGTATCTGTTTCTTCCTCCAAACTGTGACATATTTTGCCAAAAATATGTAACAGTTTGGAGGAAGATACAGATATGTGATAAAAATATGTGACATATTTTGCCAAAAATATGTTAGAAGGTACAGATACCTCTCACATACCTCCATTTATCAATCTGAAGATGCTGTTCAGTGGGCCACTTCACTACCAAACAAAACTCTGTCTATCAACATTTACAGCAATTCTCAGTCTATCCTAAAAGCTCTATTAAATTCCAATTGCAATAGCAATAAAATTGCATATATCCAGCACCATATTAAAAATCTTGTAAATAAGATAACTTTTATATTTGTTCCAGGCCATACTGGCATACTAGATAATGAATAAGCCGACTTTGAGGCTAAGTCAGCTGCAAAGGACACTGATTTAGACTACACTCTCATCCCTCTCTCATGTAGTAGCCTTAAAAATTATAATCATGACAACATTACGCAAAAGTGGAATCAGTAAAACAGTGGCGTGCCATCATTGGAAGCGGTGGATGCACCGCTNTTGAATTTCCTTTCTTTTGAGATCGCAGCAATACATGACAGGTAAGCTACTTTAATTATAATTATTAATTTACTTAAGAAATGACGCCTAATGTCTACCTCTAGTGTCAAATTACTTTATACCAATCCTTTAATTAGCCATATTATAGCCTGATATTTAGGCGATCATTTGTTATTGTATATTTGAATATCAGTGGCAGAATGGAAGCGCTGTATTCCCAATGAAAGCAGTGTATTGTCAAATAGGAGACAGCTTCCACAGCAAAAATATCTGAATACTGTAAAGCAGCCAGATTATACACATTTGCACATGCACTTTACAGAGCACCAACCTCATGCGGTTTAGCTGGTGGATGCTACACACCCTAACGCTTCCAATGATTCAATCCAGGGCTGTTAGCAGACTGCCTGCTAGATTTTTGGCTGCCCTCGCCCATCATGTGAATCGTGAGTAGATTTATAACTTAACCCAACTAACAGGAGTTTACTGGTATGTTTTTATGATGATTCTGTATAGTTAACAGGAATTAAAAAAGAAAATTCATTAAAATATTTGATATATTTATTCTGCTTTTATTCTGCTCTCCCATCTTGTATTACTTACAGATTTCAATGTTAGACTAGTGATATTACCATTTAGTATGTCCCATCTATAAGGGATGCAGAAAAAACAAATACAATCCTTGCTGCCAAAGTTAAAGTTAAAAAATTAACTGTTACTTTGGCAGCATCATTTACAACTAAATGTAATGAATGAGATGCACAAGGTACAAAAAAGCCCTAGAATTTATTTTCCTTAAATTTATGATAGACTATATCATCATCATCAATGTATCCGTTGTCATAAAAAATTGTCTTTCCACATCTTTCCCAAGACGACAAATATTCAAGTACAAAGTAACTGGTTTCAACTTATTATAAATAAAACCCTTCTGAAAGAGCTGGAATATTATTTAAACAGAAGCTTAACTGAACCAATCTCTAGCCAAGTACAGTGGGGACTGATTTCGCTGTAATATTAGATGTAATAAAGACAGTAATTTTTCCAGTTCAATGAGAGTGACCAAAAAGTTGTAAATTTTGGAAATTTCCATGAACACCTAAAATGAATTAGTTAGAAAAGAAATGTCAGATACTCTATTAAGTTTAACATATTTAGATTTTTACAGCTATGATGAGAAATGTTTAAAATTTACAACAACCCTGTCACGTCCTTTGAGGTATACTAGTGATGCAACTAAACAGGCATTTCATATTGACCAGTATCGGCATCCCTCACTGCACACTTACCAGGCGTCTCTGATTCCATCCATTAGCCACTCGAAGAGAGCTATTTGACTAAGTGGATTGTTTTATGATTTTAAAAAGTAAAGAAGATTTTATGTTATTTTTATGTATGTTTCTTTACAAAGCTATATTTAATTATAATTTTCTTTAAAAGTATATTTATACAATTGAAGAATCTTTTGTACCAGGTATGTACTGTACATTCACCACACATTTTATTTCACCAAGTAAGTTTTTATAATTTTATTTATAATTTTAGCCCTTATATCGTGGCTAGCGATTCAGAATGTAATTGTGATATTAAAAATACATTTAGAGAAGTCTGCGGTTTTTACTAGCTTATTGAACAAATGATGCGAATGGACCCGTGACCATCACTGATACACAATTAACTGATTGCCCCTGGAAGTCGGCTTCTTATAGAAACACAGTTTTCCTACTATCAAATGTCATGGCATGCCAATGCAGTAAAAGTAGTTGAGCAGTAAAACTAGTAGAATAACAAGACTTTATTTTTTTAGCGTTGAATGTAGGTTCTCATCACTACTTAGAGATTTAACATTTGTTACTGCTCAACTACTTACTGAGCATGGTAATTGTAGAAGCTACCTGGCAATGTATAACTGGGCAGAAAGTGCTTCTTGCTTTTGTTCTACAGAAAACCTAGACATCGTCAACCATATGATTTATCATTGTCCAATTTACGATCAAGATAGACTTATTCTGAAATTAGAAATTTTTATGCTTGGTTTCAGGTGGCCATGTCCACTCAATAAGTTTGTTCAGAAACCACTGTTACATTATGTTCTAAAAATATGGAATGAAAGACTATTTATAATTTCTAGCTTTACATTTTAGTTTTCACTAAAAGCCAAATACTAATTTTATGTTTACTTTGTATCATCTACTTTGGTTTATGTATTCTTAGTGTTATACACCCATAGGAGTGGTGCACTTATTCTAATAAAAATCAAGAAACCACCACACAGCCTTTCTCTCATGACAGAAATATGTGTAGAGCGTGAATATGCTAGCGTTATTACTCTGTCATGTCACACAAGACAACGAGCGTTCTTAATAGAAACCGCCAAATTGAAGCCAAATTCAAAATGCCACCACTCACCAAGATAAAAAAATAAGAATATTACGTAAGACAAGATCTATTACCTCTATCCCCGAGTTAGAAATCGTAAGAAATCCTTGACCCCACCCACCCCAAAATACCTTACGTAATTTATGGACGGCCCCTTATTTGTTAACACCTCTATTTGTTGTTTATTTGAATGATTTAGAGTAAGTCATCAGTTAAATTAAATTGCAAAATAATGGACAGAAAACTGTATTTTATTTTATATAAAAAATTTAGCATTTAATATTGCCAAGTTTTACATACTATCTGTTTTTTTGTTTCTTTAATAAACAAGTAAGATTTTTCATAAATTTTCTTATGCTCCAATATTATGACTTTAAATAAGAGTTGATATTGTTTAAAATTTTTTCATGAAATAGTATGTCTATGTTCTTTTGTAATGATATCTGTGATAAAATTATTATGTATTTTGGTGTATTTGATGCTTGCCTTTCTATTGGGTGATACTCTTTATATATCAATGACTTGAAAGTCATTGATATATATATCTGACTATCAAGTCAGATATAAGATTCATAAAGAGAGAATTACAGATTGCACTGATACCACTGGTCTAATGAAAATGGTTTTAGCTTCAGTGCTGAGTGGACTTTGTGCATTCATCTTTATCATAGATATGGATTGCACATAGACCTAAATATCTACTTAAATGGCATAGAGATTTCTGTGTTTAATAAAGTTTCTGGGTGTTATCTTTGATAGGAAGCTGAGTTTTGTACCATGCAACCAGTCTTATATAATTTAAAAAGGAGATGCTTAATATCATTGAACTTTAAAAAAATTCTAAGG